GCAGGCTGACGCTCTATCCACTGAGCCAAACCTGTTTTGGCCCCTCACGCCCTCTTGTCCCACCTTCCAGCTGAGCGGGGCCCACCTCCCCGACTGGGGCTTCCGGCAGCTGGAGGTGGTTGGGGAGAAGCTGTCCCGGGGCTACCACGAGAGCGCCGTGTGGACCGTGGAGGAGCACCGCTACGGCAGGAGTGAGTCGCTGACCCCCGGCCCTTGTGGGGATGTGCCCACAACCCAGGTACATGCCCTTGACTGGAATCGAACCTGGGACCCTTCAGTCCGCAGGCTGACGCTCTATCCACTGAGCCAAACCTGTTTTGGCCCCTCACGCCCTCTTGTCCCACCTTCCAGCTGAGCGGGGCCCACCTCCCCGACTGGGGCTTCCGGCAGCTGGAGGTGGTTGGGGAGAAGCTGTCCCGGGGCTACCACGAGAGCGCCGTGTGGACCGTGGAGGAGCACCGCTACGGCAGGAGTGAGTCGCTGACCCCCGGGCCCTCGTGAGAGGCGGCACAGCTCCCACGCTCTGTCGCACACCACACGCCCCTCCCATGCCCGCTGAAGCTGCCAACAGCCAGGGGGTTACCCTGCGGTCGACAGGCAGTGTGAGCCGAGCTCTCACGGGTCCAAAGACCCTAATTTGTCAGTTTCTCGGGGAAACAGAATGGGATGCCGCCAGTCGCCGTGGGGTTTGGAAGGCAGGGAAGCCGCTGGCGCCGAGCCCACAGCTGTGCCCAGCTCCTGACCTTAATCTGCTCCTGTTCTTTCGGGCCTGGTGTGTCCGTCAGGCCAGGAGCAGAAGGAGAGGGAGCTGGAGCTGCACTCACCAACTCACGTGGACGTCAGCAGGAACCTGAGCTTCATGGCCAGATTCTCGGAGCTGCAGGTGACGTGGAGCGGGAGGCGGGAATGGGGGCTGTGGAGTCCTCACCCCCCACGTCAGTCTTTACCTGGGACCTGACGCAGTGGAAGGAGCGTGTCCGTCCCTCCCGCCACCCAGCCACCCAGCATGCCACGTTGCCAGGCCCCAGTCAATCCGACGGAGACCAGAAGCACGGCTCCCTAGTCTAGATGTGCCCTTAGACGAGGTGACTGGAGCCCCTGGGGCCGGCCACTTCCTGGCCACCAGCAGGTGGGAATTCAGGTCTCCTGCCGAGCCCGCCAGTCAGGCCGCACTGCCTCCGCTGCGCCTTCCAAATGAGCTTGAGGTTGGGCCCCACGCGCAGGTGCCTGGCTGCCTGACGGGCTCTGGCTGTGTTGCAGTGGAGGATGCTGACGGTGAGGAGCGACGACTCGGAGCACAAGTACAGCTCCACGCCGCTGGACTGGGTCACCCTGGACACCAACATCGCCTACTGGCTGCACCCCAGGACCAGTGTAAGCAGAGCTGCGCCGTGGCCTTAATCCCCTCTGCTTCCCGCCGAGTCTGCTGGCTCCTGGGCTGGCCTCAGAGCCGAGGAGCGAGGGCGCGTGTGCGGTGGAAGGAAGCGGCCTCTGCTCTTGTGGCCGCACTGGGCCTTCCCTGCTGTCCGTGCTCGGCCCCTGCGCTCAGCAGGCAGAGCTTCCTTCAGGCACCTGTTGTCGCTTCCCCCAGGGAAGGCGGCAGAGCCGGCTCAGCCATGGCTCCTGGGATGACACAAGCTAACGATGCTCACGTCCTCCCGGCCCAGAGCGCGCCGAGCGGTCACTCGCAGAGCAGGGCCCCGGGCACACCCTTAGCTCTGCGTTGCTCTGTGTGAGTCCCTCTGGGAGCAGCCTGCTGTTGAAGACAATCGCGGCTCCTGATTGTAGGAAACTCCGCATGTCCTAGAAAGGGCCCCGTCAGGAACAGGCCCCATGGAGGCTGCGCTGATGGCATCTCTCCTCATAGGCTCAGATCCACCTGCTGGGGAACGTGGTGATCTGGGCTTCCGCCGGCCTCGCCACTGCGCTGTACGCCCTGCTCTTCTGCTGGTACCTGCTCCGCCGCCGGAGGCGTGTCTGTGAGCTCCCCGAGGGTGCGTGCACGCTCCCCCCGTTTCTCCTCCTAGTTCTGACCAGAGCTCAGCTCACCAGGAAGCTCTGCCTTTAGGTGGCATCTTTGTTTCTGCATCCAGGGGCGTAAATTACTTTGTCTCCCCAGAGACAAAATGTTGCAGTTCAGCTCCCACGTGACCTTCGGGGCTTCTCCAGGGAGTGCAGGCACTGGGCAGGGAGTGCAGGCACTGAGCAGGGAGGTGCAGGCACTGGGCAGGCACTGGGCAGGGAGGGGCAGGCACTGGGCAGGGGTGGCTGGTGAGCCCAGGGCAGAGCCGCCATGAGTACCCAGTGGAGGGTCTGGTGTTTGCTAGTAACAGAAACCCACTTAGCACCTCCTATTGTGGGGCTCCGGGAACTGGCCCGTCCTCCCCACTGGACGGGCGGCCCCTCAGCTCCCCGAGGAGTTGTACCGACCAGATAATCCCGACACGGGACCTTGACGAGCAGCAGAGGCTGGGCCTCCCGCAAGGGCTGGTATTTCTCAGAGGAGGGACCGTGAGGACCCAGCGGGTGCTGCAGGGGGTTCTGAGGACCAGTCTGTTCTTCCTCCAGCAATGGGGGGGTGGGGGGAGTGAAGTGCGGAGCCTGCGGTGACTTAGGGTCAGCGCTGGCCTGCGCCACCCTCCCCAGATTCCTGGCTGCGCTGGGTGCTGGCCGGGGCCCTGTGTGCCGGCGGCTGGGCGGCAAACTACCTCCCGTTCTTCCTGATGGAGAAGACGCTCTTCCTCTACCACTACCTGCCCGCACTCACCTTCCAGATCCTTCTACTGCCCGTGGTCTTGCAGCACATCGGCGAGCACCTGTGCAGGTCTGGGCCATCACAGTGTGAGGGGCGGACTGGGGCCCTGGGGTTGAGGACGAGCCTGCACAGCTGTTGGGGTGGGAAGTGGGAAGTAGGTCTGTGGTCCAGAGACCAGGAGGAAGGCGAGCAACGGGAACCTGAGGGTGGGGAGGGTTCTCGAACGGCCATATTGGCCCGATTGCAGGCGCAGAGGAGGTAGACCGGGAAGCTGTGTAACCTGGGGCGGGGCTGGGAGCCTGGAAGCCTGGAAGGGGGAGGTGGGGGGGGGAGCCGTGATGCGTGGGGTTCGCGTTCAGGTGGAGCAGAGGCCTGGAGACCCGAGAAGTGGGCCAGCGAGGAAATCATGCTCAGCACCAGGCCGCTGT